TTATATCTGGAAGGTTGAGACCACTCATCTTTTTTACCTAGTAAGATGTTAATTTACAATAAATCTGCTACTAAACTGTTGGTTTCTGATGTCTTCTTGTGTGGTCTTCAAGACGGGTTAGAAAATGGGAATGTTGATTATCAATTGAGAAATCACTACCAAGAAGCCAAAGTCTAGGAATGGGAAATATCCTGTGCCGGTCTTCTAATATGAGCATGTTTGTTGCAGCAGACTTTATCAAATATTTACCAGCCAATTAAATATTAAAAATAGTATTTTAAATAATTTGTTTTAAAAAATGTTTAAAATATTTTTTTCTCTTTTCAGTGGGGAAAAAAGTGGAATGAATCTGTTTACTCCCACATTTTTTGTATTCTTCCTGAAATTCTCTCTTTGCTTTGAAAGTACCTAAATGGTATTGGTTTGCCAAATATAGGAAGAAATGTATAACACAGGATGGGAGGCTGTGACAGGGAAGGAGCTGGTCACTACTGAAGCCAAGCATATTCTGTTGGATGCTCAACTGTCAAAATAAGAAAATACCTTTCTTTCAGACTAAGAAGTGCTCATTTCTTAGTTAATTATGTTTGTTCATTATTGAGTGGTCAAACTGTATTGCCTCAGAAGTACTTTAACATAATGTCTAAAAGTGGGAGAAGTCACTTATTCCAGTAGAACTAACCAAAACCCGATAAATATGAGAGAATCTTGTATGTGTGACCTGTAGCTCTATTCTGTGACCACGTCTGAGAAAGCATTTAAGCATGTGTTTAAATTGCAGACTGTGACTAATCTGGAGTGAAATTAAACATATACTGGAGTGCCTTTTCTGGATGTGCTTCTTTTCTAGATAAGCTTCTTTACTGGCAGTTTCTTTCACATGGTAAATTTCTGTCTTTCTGTAATAGGAATCTGAGGACTTGAGTAGGCAGTGTGATTCTGTTTCACTAATCTTTTGCAGGTAATGTTGCTGAATACTTGCAGGTATAGAGAGTACAGTTGCTGAAAGTATAGCATTGTTCTTGCATAGCTGCCTCATTCTGCTAGCATAGAGGTTTTAACATACGAAGTCTTGGGCAAAGTGTGAAATCCTAACTTCTGCCCAATAGAACATGCATATTTTTAGCTTATTGCCTGTTACATGCTTGTTCAGGCCCAGTCGAAGGCAGAAATCAGAACCAACTTCTAAGAGGTCAGCTTGTTCTGCACCTGAGATCTATATGCACTAAAGGCTGAGTTGTCAGAGGTGGCACAGAGGATTAAGTAAAATTTAAGTTGCTTAAACTCTTGCCTTCATCCCTACAGTCCTGTCCAGGGTGGAGCACTGTGCAATACACAGAATCCAAAACTTTGGGACAAAAACAATTTTTGCAAGATTAAAAACTTCATTGCCCATCCATCCCATGTATAGCTATGTGACAAAATGTCTGTCTTTAATGCAGTGAAGTTGATTAAAGGAACTCAGTCTGAGGAATCCTTTTGTCTTCACACATAAATGCACTAGTCTGTAGCAGACAGTCCCCTGTTTTTCAGCCATTGTTTGATGTGATTTGAGGCTACCTACTGTGGTGGTGCCCCACCCCCCTACCCCTCCTGGGCCACTCAGTGGTTAATGCCATTCCAACCTGAGAAGGTAAGGACTGCAAATGACAGTGAACCAGAGTGCTAAGGCACCCCATTGATGAGCCTTGCTCCTGCTCTCCCTATCACTTGGGAACAGCTGTAACAGCCCTTCACCCCTGACAGCCCAGTAAGCCTGTACCTGGGATGTGGCCAAAGGAGAACAGTAACAGAATTGCACAGCCATCAACCCTTGTGCAGCTGGTGGAAGACACCAGCATACTTCATTGTTCGAGCTGGGCCAGAGTGAAAAGTACCTGACAAAAGGCAGTTATCTTGGACCCTATAAATAGCAACCCCAAGTGAGACCCTTTGAGCTCTCCTGGGCTGCAGCAGGCCTGTGACCAGCATCTCCCCTGAGCTGGGATGCCTCTCAGGTACCAAAAACCTTAAGGCACCATCCACGGAGCTGACGGGAGGCCAGGACGAAGTCGAAGTCGACAAGTCTCAGTTATGGCCCACTGAGGAAAGATGATGCATTGTGAGTGTTTACTCTAAACTCGAGGAGGGGGAAATTTTAACTTTGAGATAGCTTCTCTTTTACCCACTCCCTCTCTACTTCCCGATATGTTTGGGTATACACAGTTATTTTCCCAAGTGTGGGTGCATACGTATTTCACCGAATCCAAGTGCTTTCTGTCTCTGTGTGTGTACATCTTGTGTTTGTGAATGCATACATGTATTGTTTTAAGGTACTGTATAGTAAGTTAGTGTGAATCTTGTCATCTTCAGATCTGTAATTAAGTGTAGTTACAGTTTTAATTGTAATGTATTTTACTGAATTTGTATTTTACTGAATTATTTTGTAAATAAATTGGTTAATGATTAAGTACTGCTAATCATTAATAAATCTTGATTTGCTGCTAAATAATTATTGTGTTAATATTTCCATCCCCAACATCTACATAAATGTTGCATTAGTTTGCGAAATGCAATTTATACCTGTTCATTTTCCCCACAATGAGGAGAAATTGTTACGTTCTAGATGTCACAATGACATAAAATGATCATAACATTTTTCTTATCTAGTACATAAACTTGTATGGGTTTCATCCCATAGTGGTGGAGCTGTACTGGGCATGGGTTCATGCCTCTTGATCAGAGAAAGTCCCCACTTAGATGCAAACTCAGATCTATCTTGCTTCTGCTTTTTTCCACTACTGGTGGTGGTGACAGAGGCTTGAATGTTTTGTTTATCATGTAAGTGCAGTTTGACCGTGTAATTTTGCACAATTCACTAAATGACACTAAAAAAAAAAAAGGGGTAGATCCTAAATTTCAAGCTATAGGGGGAAGGCTGCACATTTTTTCCTGCACATTTCTTCATGCATTGTAAACTTCTTGGTCAGAACCTCTCCTCACCTTCCTGGTCTCTTAAGGTTCTGCAACACTTGGGTTAGAACTACTGTATGAAAAATAGAGAAACACTTGAATGATAGGCTTTGAATGTTGCCTATGACTTCCAGGGAAGAGGAAGAAGGAGACCAAAGACCAGTAAGATGAAAAAAATGCTATAGCAGGATGAAAGAAAGTGAAAAAATGGGCAAAAAGGAAAGAAATTAAGTAAGCCTAATGTATGGAAGAGTGAAATTGCCCTAGGTGATCAATTGTCTTGAAGATCAGCTACAGATTTTTCACTAGATTTATAAGGAAATTTTTATTTTCCAAAGGTTTTCAGAATCAGTTCTTTCCTAAGCAAGGGTTTAGTAGTTTTCAAGGATAGAACATGTCTGGACGTGTCTTACATGTGTTTAAAGACAGAGTCAAAGCTACCACTTTGGGTGTCAGCACCAGTCAGCAGGACAAATTCTCCTGTCAGTTTCACTGTTGCAATCTTCCTTGTTGGGAATCCTCTCTGTTCTTGCTTTGCTTCTGTGTTTCTGTGTGTCTCTGTGGTTGTTTGTGTGCTTGTTTGTGTGTTCAGCCCAAGAGTCAGAATAAACATTTAAGGAATAAGAATACTGAATGTGAAAAGTCCTGACTTTTTAATGTTTGTAATGAACAGAAAACATAAAAGATGTTCGGCATCAAAACTTTCAGTAGAGATCCCTGTAGTTTAGGCCCTCTCCCTCCCCAGCCTTCATTATTCCTCTATGACAAAACTACTGCTTCTTCTCAGCAAGATCAGGTGAAGTCAGTTGTATAAAAAAGTCTATATTTTCTCATGTGGTCTTTGGAACTGGTGTTTAATTGCTCATGATGAACCGAGAAATAATTTTTAAATTAAGATTGATGAAAGGTTTCTCCACCGTTTGAATGTCCTCTGATTTTGCTTAGCTAATGCCTACTTCCAGATAAAAAAAACCCCAAAGCAACCCAGAATAAAACCAAACCCTTTTTGCGGTGTTCATGGCATTGAAAATGCCAAAGACTGTTAATACAGAGACGGGCAGAAGGTTTTTTCCCAGTAGGTCTGTTTGCTATTTGACAAATGGTGGTTGAAACACTTAAAAATTTCACTGCTTATCTGAAACGGCAGTAGTGGCATCATAAAATTAACACTGTTTTATGTTATGAACAGTGCTTTATCATACCGATACTCCAGCTGAGACTCTTTCTGTCATTTCTCTGGAGGATGGTTTTTCAGCTGATTTTTTAACATAATGTGGTGATCTTGGTGCATTCTGCAGACACATTGCACATCCAAAACATTTTGTACACAGGCTATCTGTACTGCAACATATGGGGCTTTCCACATAAACTGACAACTGCAAGCAGCAGATTTTTATTGCCATATCTTTATTAAATGCAAAGTACATAAATGAATGAAATCTAAAGTTTTCAAAAACAAGACAGGTAGGAAATGCACACTTCTTATGTCCCACAGTCAAATGCAGTTGCTGAAACTTAATTTGCTGAAGCTTACCTGTCCCCTACAGCTGTTAAATCAGGAGCTCTGCTGCAGAGAAACTAGCAAGTTTTTCAGGTGTTTGGACTTGCACCTAGCATCTCACTAACTTTCAGGGTTATTTGCAGAAGTGCAAATACAGAAGAGTGCAGTATATACTTGACATGCAGTGAGGACACAAGCATCTTGAGATTAGATTTTTGGTCAGAATTACTCATAGGGCTCAGACTGACATGCAACACAAGAATGTTGGAATCCTGAGTCACAAATACCTGTCAAATTAGTCCATGGCTGACAGTATAAGCTACAAATGCTGTTGTAGGAGAGCATTGTGTTCTGACTGAATTAAGATCACATCTGTCCTGAAAAGAGACATACACATTTTCATCTACAAGGACATCAAGCTGCTAAAGTTCAGTGGGAGAATACCTCGTTTACCATTATAATGAAGCTATTTTTGACAGCATATTTCAAAACTAGATACTGTTACACAAGTACCAAGTAGGAAATCACTTGGTCAAAACCCAAGCTATTAGGCTCCCCTTATGGTTTTCCTTATCCACTGAAGGTATTGCTTTGTGAGTCGAGTGTAGACACCAGGGCCATCAACAGTACCACACTTGTTTGCCTTCCCAAAAGCAGTAATGCCTCTCATCACATTATTGCATCTTAAAGGTCCGCCAGAATCCCCCTGGAAAAAGGGAAAAAAAATTGTCATTCAAATTTAGAAAAGCTAAAAAAAAATCATTCTTTTAAATAAATTTTGCATCAGTTGCATCGAGGAAATAAAAATATAGATACTGCTTTTGTGGATTTATTCTTCTTCCTCCTTGCAAGATAAGATTTTCATTAGCAAAAAAATAAAAAAAAAAAAGACTTCAATCTGATCTTTCATGTGTGAGTAATGGGGACTGAATCTAGCTCAGTGCTAGGGAATTGGCAGTCCTTTTGAGTATGAAAAGAAAAAGCTGGAATCTTTCCTCCTGAAAAGCAGAATGTCTCTAGAAATTGTTATGTTTTTCATAACTTTGTTTCAATATTTAAATCTTTTAAAATGTGGTAGTTCTCACACAATTGTGCATTTGACTTGGGATCCAGACAAAATGCTTTTTAATCCTCAAAACCTGTTTTCAAAGCTTTCTATCATCAGAGAAGTTGTTCCACTGAGGTTATCTGCTTGAGAATGGGATCGTAAGCTATTTTGTGGAGATTCTTCTATTAAAATAATTTTACTGAAAAAGAGAATAGCTATCTGCCATGCCTGGATAAAATCACAATATCCAAAGTCAGTGAAGGTGAATTTATCAATCAGAAGTTTTGATTTTAAGGTTTAGAAGAACAAACTTTGGTAAATTCACTGGTTTTTAATAAAATTCTTCATTGAACTGAAGAGAGGCAGAAATTATAAATGTGAAAAGCTAGTACTTATATTTTATTTTTAATAAAATCTATGTGCATATAGACAGTAAACACACTTACAAAACACGAGTCCTTTCCTCCTTTCTTAGCCCCTGCGCATATCATGTTGTCTGTTATAACAGGGTTGTTTCTATAATGCTGCTTGTCATTGCAGATTTGCCTACTGATGACAGTGATATTGACCTCCCTCAGGGTATCAGAAAACTTTCTCAGATAATTGTGAGTTTGTCCCCATCCTGCTACTGTGCAAGTTGTTCCTGGTTTGGGATCATCAACTGAAGTAGGCAGGGGAATCAGCTGCACAGCTTTATTAAGTCTTGCTCTTCCCTTAAGCTGTAAAAGATGCGGAAAATAGTTACTACAGGGCAGAGTTTAACCGTTGGATATTTTCCATTATGGTAATGGGGGATTACTGCAAATCCTTTTGAGACTCCTCAGTTCTTCGTGACAGAATTTATCTAATCAATGTAAGAATGACGAAAATGAATATTCTTCGTCTGATGAAAACCCATTTATCTTCTGCTGAAATATTAGCTCTAAAAGATACTCAATTATACTTCTCTGCCTCTCAGACCATTGGGAGGACACAATAGCAGTAATCACTGAAGGTGGCAAAATTGAGAATCAGAGAAGTCAGACATTTTTAATTAGAACTGTTTTTCAGACAGAACATCAGGGGTTTAAACAAAATTATTTCTATATGTGAAATACACTTATTTTTGTGGACAATCTTTATTCTTTCACTGAAAATCCAGAAACTGAAATATCTTGGTCAAGCTTCAGGATTTTTCTACTTCTAGCACAGGCATGCATTACAGGAATTGTTAATTGCCTTAGTTCCCAGTGTATCCCCAATTGCCCAGTCTGCTGGATTAGCAGACCAGATTATATCACCCCAGAAAAAAAGTCACCAGAAACTCCCTTGGCTCATTTCCCTCACAAGAAGGAAGAAACTGATACTTCGTAGGAGATGCGTATTCCATAACTGATGTGTAAGTCTATACCTGCAGAAGCATAATGTCGTTTTCCTTATGATTGGAACAGTAGTATGGATGGCGAATATATTTTGCAATCTGAAAAAACTGTTTTTCTTTTTCTCTTTTTTCCTGTGAATGAGCTCCAAGAATAACTCTCCCTCCTTTCCTGAGAAGAAAAGACAACATGGGATTCTTGCTATAACTTCATAATTCTTTGCTATTAAATGTGGTGCTATAATGTCCAGCTGCTGCAGAGTCTCTCTTCTCATGACTGAAAAGCAACAGTAATTTAGGAAAATATAAAAGATTACCCTGGTTTTGGAAGCAGTTAAAAAAATTGACTCTGTAATCAAAATTCTATCCTATTTTCAGCTTCCCAGGAGCATAGACAGGGTTCAGGTATTTGACTCTGAACCTACGCCTATTGTTTCCCTTTGGGAATGAATGAGGGGTGGATGCATTAGCCTGGCTGTTTTACCAGCTGTGCTCTCTGCTATTTGTGCTGAAAATTTAGGGCATAGCTCACAGCACTGTTAGTTCAGAGATCATAATGACTGGACTCAGTTGTACCATTGCCTTGCTGTAACACCATTTCAACACCATTTTCTGAGTCCATGTGAGACTACATCAGACTACAGGTATATAGCCGTTGATGGAAGAACAATGTATGTTACAGATGATTTGGAGAATATTCTTAGAGCACATGTGTAGGTTGACCCTCATTTGCTTCTTACTGTTGTAAACACAACCCCTAGAAAGGAGCTGCTCCTTTCCTTCAGCTCTTGCTTCTCAGCAGTTGGCTGAGCATCATTAGGTAATGATTTATTGTATATTCTCTTAAATGTGTTCTCATTTGGAAATACTCATTACGTTATGTTAATACCACAGCTTTTGGGCCCTATGGTCTCCTTATAGTAGGTCCCATATATCTCCGTGTTTGGATGGGGACAGGAGAGATGGATACACTTCTCTGATGCCTGTAGAGTCCAGTGATTCATTGGTCCTGGGAAGGCTGTTGACAGAGCACCTGTGTGAGGTCTGGCTCAGCAGCAGCTCCAGTCCTCCCTACAAAGGCAAGGGGTGGGATGTCATTTAAACCTCACATCTTGTCTTGCTGATGGACTCTGCAGGGCCAAGTATCCATTTGCATCTCGAGTCAGACAGGAAGATCAAAGGCTGACTGACAAGCCAACATATCTAGTAGAGCAGAGATCTGTCAGTGTCTCCTGTCATCTGTCTGGAGGATTTTTGCTCCTGTATAACTGCATGCTGTCTCCTTCTGTGGTAAACTGCATATCTTTTACAGAATAAAATGACAAGAATTTATTTCTGTTTTCTGAGCAGCTGTTTAGACTGGCTCATCCTCTGGCCTAGTGCACTGGTTCACTGAGAAAACAGGGATAAACCTTTTGCCCAAATTCACTACTTCAGTGTTGTTATTATGTGCTTGCATGCAGATAGAAACTTGCAAAATATCTTTACAGAAACAGTAAACATCAGTATACCTTGTTATATTACCTTTCACTCACCAAAGCACATTTGTTAATTTAAATTATAAAACACAATAATCAGAACATGATTGTGGTCATGCTAAATGCACAACCCACCAGGGATATTGACTCTCTTTCTTGAACAGAGACACCAGATACCCACTAAGAACAGTCTCTGAATCAGAGTCAGAACTTACACATTACAGTGGGCAGCTGTTAACACCCAGTCTTCCTTGATCAAAGCTCCTCCACAAATAGCTTTTCCATTTGATCCATTGATTAGGGCCATAAATGGTCTGGAGTGTGGTGCTACTTCATTTCCTCCAATGATATCCACACAGAAACCTAAAAATAAAAATAAGCCATAATACACACAGCTGGGCTAACAAATACTCTAAGACCCTCAAAGTCTCTTAGAAAAAACAGTTAAAGTAATTATGAAGTATATAGACACACAGATATGTATATATGTCACAGTATTAGTCTTCAGGGTAGACAGTTTTAAAATTGCTTAACAGTACTATTTTTGTATGCTTCATTGGAACCAAAATTAGATCAGTGAGGTGTGTTTTGACTAGAAAAACATCAAAGTATTGTTCTTGAACGGATTTATTTTGAAGTTCACTTCTATGTTTAATTTCTTAGTTTTCATTGTGAGTAACAACCTCTGATCTGCCACATGATAAATGTACACTATGTGACATATATAGTGTAAGTAACATTGCATGAATCTGTTTTTCAGAAAAACAGAAAATAACGAGATTAACGTATGTGTATGCCTCTGGAAAGAAAGGTCAAAAAATCATTATTTTAACTCATTGGAACTCCTCCAAATAGCCTGTCCTCTGCAGCTTTAATTCATACTACCCATTCATAAATTATGTTCTCTTTATGAAAGATCAAAACCATGCAGACAGTGGAAAAGAGCTGATAATAAGAACTCAATAATCATGACTATTTCCTTTACATTAATACATGTTGGCTTAACTGGAACTCTGTATGTCAGAATTTACCTTCAAAAGGATCGAATTGGGCACTTACCTCCGTGAACTACCAGGAGAATGACAGAAGCAGATGTGGACAAGTTGATGAAAGCTCCCATGATTTCTGTCTGGTGTTCCCCCCACTCTTTAATATATATATATCTATCTAAATGAAAAGGATGTGGGTTTTGTTTTTCCTCTTAAGGGTATTTGACATTGGTAACTATGACAAAGGCAAAAACCTCCCTAACAATGTAGCTTACAGCAGAGGTCTTAGTGAGAAATTGCATCATCTGTTGTGGTGTGAAGACAGGATCTGCCCCCCCTTCATGTTCTCTCTGTAGTGCTGGCAGAGAGCTAACATATGAGTATTGGGGCGAAACCGTGCAAGTCACTATGTGTCCAGTTACACAGTGGGACTCAGCTCACATAAATTTAGGCTTGACTCTGTTGCCCACATAAAGATGTATAGCTTCATTCTAGACACCCCAAGTGGCCTCCAGATCAGAGATGAATTCCAGTCCATTCCTCATTGAAGAGTTATCTCTGCTGTTCAGGAGCCTTTCAGGGCCAAGGAATGTCATGTTTGTTCCTTTCAGCATCTGATCCTACCCCCTTAGCTTTGCACTAATTGGGTAATTGTTGATGATTTCTCTGAAGAAGGCAGATGTGGAACTATTTTTGGAGACTGCAGAGGTCTTTGTCACTGCAAAACCACACCAAGTTTGTAATTTTATTTTCTTCCTCACTACCTGCACCTCCCCTGTAACTATCAGCAGTTTGTAGCATTGACGTTCTTTTTTTTTTTTTTTTTTCAACCTTGTCCCAAACACAGTATCACCAGGTATCATAGGTACCATTCTTTCATTTACCACTTATAAATAGCTGCCGAAGTCTGATTTTATGATATTTTAATTAGCAGTCTTATCTTGTTGAAACACAAGCCTTCTCCTGTATGGTCAGAAGGTGGTATGTTGCATGTTTTGTCTTTTATGTTGCTTTCTAAGATAGCCCTTAGTGGGACAGCAAAGCCATAAAGGACTTGAACATAATTATGCCTTTAGAACCCTCTTTACAGATATAACTTCCAGCGGGTGAATAATCTCAGGATCAGCTGGAGTATGGAGAGTGATTTTGGAGTAACCTGAGCTGGCTCTTTCATGAGCTGATGAAGTCTAGAAGTCACATGTTTTCTTTTAAAATTGCTTTGGAAGAGTCTTCTGAAATGTGAAATGAGTTACATTGTGTTGCATCATGTACGTTTTCAAACTGGGTTATAACTACTAAGATCCTGTGCCATGAAATAAGCATTTCAGTGCTATAATCTCATTCAACAATCTGGAGAGCTGCTCTAACTCTTGAATAAAAATGACAACTAGCTATATTGGGCAAGTTACATTTCTGATTCTTTCTAAAGGCACTTAAGATGATAGCAGCTTTTAAAACTTCTCGCAAGAGCAGGCTGTTTTTTTTGTAGTGGTTTATCAGCACAGTGTGCAAAACATGGGTGCAGACACAGATGTTTTCAATACAGAAATGTCTCTCCCATCACTGTGGCTTTTTATCTTGTGACCACTGATTAGATACTTTGTTTGCATTTGACACTTGCACACTCTAGGGTTTTCTGAATCCAAATCCTGCACCTTCAAAAATTATTGCTAAGAAAACTCAAATTGCTCTGCCCTGCATGTGTGTAGCTTGTCTTTTGTGGTCAGGCATTCCTCAGCTTACCAGGCAGCAGATGTCTGCCAACTCTCAGTTGCTTTCATAAAATTCATGTATGAATCTTTTTCAGTCTTTCAACCGAAATTGTTACCTGGGCGGTATAGTCTGCAGAGGATTTGCTAGCTGCTGATGTATCTTGGTCCACAGTTTGTGAACGACTTTAGTACTCTATGTGCCCTGAGTTTTGCCTCTCACTGCTGTACTGTGAAGCCTTTTCAGGTGGCCCTTGTATTCGTTCTCTCATTAGTTCACAAGCTTGAAGATGGCCAGCTTAATTATTGTCATGTATTTCCATTTTTTTTCCTTTAAAGTCAAAGGAGTGTTGAATTTTCTGACACCTTATGTTTTATTATACATTCATCCCATGTAAAGCTCAGGAATTTTCTTACGTGCTTGTTTTATAATACCTGCAGTGAAGGGCTGTTGAAGTTGCTGTAAGACTTGGACCAATTAATATCGACATGTGTCTGGGATTCAAGAAACAGACAGGTTTTAAGGAAACCTAAAGAAACCAAGCTGCAGTTAAATAATACAATGTTAATGATGCAAAGGGAAACAAGAGAGAGCACTATTCATAAAACCTTTCAACCACCATTTCCTGTAGGGGACATTTAAATATAAAAGACTGTATCTTAATTTACAATCTCTTGTCACTAAATAGAAGCAGCTATGCGAAGCCACCTGTCAGCGCTCCTGCTCTCTTTAACTGCTGTTACCCTATGTAAGGGTAAGTACTCATCTGAGGATAAAAATACCTAAATTCCCAATTCCTCTGTATAACACGTAACACAATTGCATTTTTGTTGCATTTCAGATGGCTGCAGGGATATTATCGGAGGACACATTGTGCGAACTCATTCCTGGCCTTATATGGCTGCTATCTAGGTGGAGAATTTAACTAAGTGTGGAGGAGCTCTCCTGGACAAGCGATCAGTTTTGACAGCAGCACATTGTCAGTAAGTATTTTATACTGGGGAAATTTTAACTCTTCATTGAGGTGGGGCATGGTGTGCAAGACTGTAAGTAAAGAAAGGTGTATATTGAATTTTTAAGAATTGGTAAAAGTTGCACTTCTCTCACTAAACTGATCTAAGAAGTTACCATTCTAAGTTGTTTTGTAAACTACTGATCTGTATTGCATACAGTTACCTTATTAATCAAATGCTGCTAGTCTCATGGGATACAGACTGTGCTGATAAAAGACCAAATTCATTATTTATGCATCTGAAACATCAGTGTCTTAGAGAAGGGCAAAAAGTCCAAAATGCTTTAAACAAATCTTACCTGTGTGCCCTGGGACTAAGCCTCGAAACACCCTGAGAGATAAAGTTGAATTAGATGGAAACATTATCCCCACCATTTTAAATGATCTGGGCTCACAAAAACTGAATGTCAGTCACGACTATGACAAGGAGGCTTATCCTTTTGACAAGTCAAATGCGAGCACAAGTGCCCCTTCCTCAGACGGGATGCTCGAAGGCTGTCAAAGCTGTAGAACAGCTAGCTCAGGGTAAGGAGGACATCTACTGTTCATGCTAGGACATGAGAAGTCCTGGCTTTGCTAAAATGTTCTCTAAATTTTACTTTAGTTTTTTTGTTTGGTGGTTTTTTTTGTTTTTTTTTTTTTCCCTTCTGTATTTTGAGTAACTAAAAGTTACCAACTACAATAAATACAATAAATCTGTGCAAATATGACCTCCTCAAACACAACATGGGCAGCTCGGCCACCTTCTTCTGTCAGTTATTTTGAAATAGAGGACACAGCTCCTTTCTAAGTGAATTTGACTTTCACACTTCTTCAACTGAATCAGGTTTGGTTGCATTTTTTGTAAGGGTAGAAAATATTCACACCTAGCATGTGCTTTTTTGAACATTTACAAAACAAAATCCAAGCCTTCCTATTTGGAATTAAGGGATTTTTTTGATGGGTTATGGAGTCTTTCCCTTTTCAGTCAATGGGTCAGAGATATCGATTCAGTTATGGTTATAAAAATTCAGATTTGGGAGCTATTCAGTGGAAAGGGCACTGATTGTCTCTGCTCCTGTGGAGAGTGTGCTCTGGTCACTTGTTTGGTTTTCTAACAAGCACATTAGTTTGGGCTGACTTTAAGTCTTTGCTGCTGGGGCAAACGGAATGAACACTGGCCTGGTCTCCTTCTGAGCTGAATGATTCCCATGGAAAACCCACCCACCACTATGCTATGTCTAGACTGTTCTTAGCAGATGCAATTGCAGTGCATGTAAGCCTTCTTAACTAATGAATACTATGTGATAATCAGTTCTGAAATAATTTCTGTCTTAGACAAAATAACATGAATTCAGCAACAGAAATTTCTGTGTGGCCTGAGAACAAACTGTCAGAAATCAGGATGAGGTGGCGGTGGGGTGTTTTGGTTGTTTTTTTTTTTTTTTTTTTTTTTTTTTTTTTTTTTTTTTTTTTGTTTTGTTTTGTTTTGTTTTGTTTTGTTTTGTTCTTGTTTTTTGTTTTCTCCCAAACTTCTCTGTATGCACAGTGGCTGATTGCCTGCGCTTTCCACAAGTGCCCCTCTGTTAAGGATGGCACATGAAAAGAGTCCCAGGGATGGAGTTTTGTAAGTCTTATATAATTCTCACTGTGTAAGTGTGCTTTGTAGATAAAAAGATACATTTTTAGGATCCAGTACTGTCTTTTCAGCTGTTTTCACAAGCAAACATTCAAGTAGAAATAAATTAATTGTATCTTTCAGGGAAACGTGCAGCTGGAATGAAGAAAATAACTTTTTTTTTTTTTGTTTGGATCGATAAAATCTTTGTTTTGGCTTCAATAAATTGTCCTGTGTGTAGTGAGATTGTGTTCTGAATATGAAGCACAGAAAACAAGCAGTATGTCTACTGGCAATGTCATCTTACTGGGCTGCATTAAATTTAGCAGAGCAAAATGAAGAAAGACAAACTTTAATAAATACATTTTTGATGATACTCAGCTTGGAGGAGAGGGAGATTTATGAGTTGCCAAACTTTTATTGTTTATTAGCAGAACCTGGACATATAACTCTCTGGGTTTTGGCAGTCTCCCTTTTTAATATTCACTATAGGATTGTCTTGAGTTAGGCAACACCCATTCTTCTTTAATGGGCTGAATCCCATATTTAGTGAAGTTAAGGACAAAACTCTTACTAATATTAAAGTTGTCCACTTTAGCAGATCTTACCTGTATGCATAATGCTCAGAATGAGTATTGAGTATCAGTGTGTGTTCTGACATGTCACTGATGTCAGCAAGATGACCTACATGCTATTAGTCAGGGATGTTTCAGTCTTTTTCAGGATTAGGTCATAAGTCCAAAGGAGAGCATTAAAAAATTAATGAAAGGTGTCAGTCCTTTGGCAAAGGAACGTTTCAGTAGGCTTTTTAATGAAATGAATTCCAAACTCTGGAAATCCCCGAAGGTCAGCTATCAGACAATTATTTAACCAAACTAGATTTACACTAAAGAAATGTTACTTTGTAGAGGAAAACACGAGTTTATGTCAAAACATTGAAATGAACAATATCCTTCCCTATGTTTTAATCATGTTGTTGTAAAATGAAATTGTATTATATTACATGTCTTTTGATTATCTTGAGAAATGTTGCTCAGTTCCAGTAGTAAACTTCTCTCCCTGTACTTTCTTTAAATTACAGATTAAAGAAATCAGAAGTTAAACTTGTTCTTGGATTCTATCAAGCATCCATAGCTGAAAAATATCAGCAGATATTTAAGGTTCTGCAATACTTTCCTAATCCTCAGTTTGGCATGTCTTCTATGGAAAATGATATAGTGCTCCTCAAGGTATTGTGTTAATGTTGTATTACTATAAAAGGAATTTTGCTGATTATTGTTTTGGCTGTTCTTTGATATTGAAGAGTACATTGTTTAGATAGTTTAATAATGTTACAGAACATTATGCTTTTGGTTGTAGTAATCTAGACAAGGTCATAGGATCACTGGCACTGTGAGCAGGGGTGACATTTCAAGACCATTTTGTGCTCTAAAACTTCCTTTAACCCACTCACTGCTGCAACCCCTCCAAGACCTCAAAACACATTCTTTAGTAGTTTTTCAAAGGCAATGCTGAAGTGATGTATGCAATGGAGTCTGGGTCAGACCAAAGGGATACCTTGTGCTGAACTAAGCAAGATGGGGATGAAACTTAATTATTTGGGGCAACCACATAAAATAAAAGTATGGGTAATACAGGACATAGATGAATTAATCTCTAGAAGCACAGACTGGTAACATAGTGAAGACAGCTCAGGACTGAAGAATGAAGCATGGAAAGATGACCTCACCAACATCATCATCCTGGATGTCAAAGTGGAGCAGGGCTGTAAGAATTTCCTACGTGCCTGCTTCTGCTCAGCCTTGCTCATCCCTCATGTGTTCCTGCACTGAGAACTCTGTTAATCCAGCACTGACCTTGACATGAAGGAAATCATGGGTATTTTGAATAGGGAGAGGGCAGTCTCTATGTGGGAAACCTGTAGATGGTCAAATGGATCTAGATAACTGTCTTCCTGGTACCAGCAGTTTTAGTGCTGATCCAAAGTCCCTCAAAAGTATAGGCAAGAGGATGTACCAGGCAGACAGGTTCATTTCACTGGCTTCTCCTGTGGCCACCAGCAGCTTATCAGGAGCACCAGGTTATTTGTGAGCGCAATACCAAAATGGATCTCCAGAAAGTAATATTTCTAGAGCTGAAAGTTACAGTTTTGCTCCAGAATGACATGGACACCATAAAATTGTTGTCTGAATTTGACACTGGATAGCATTAGTACCAGGGCTCACCTCCCATCTCTACAATTCTGCTGTAATGTAGTATTAAGTGACTTGGGATAAATTTTTCATCTTTGGAAACCACCAGCACTAGTGATAATAAACTGTAAGGATTTTTTTTTATAAACTCATGATTTGTTGGGGTGCCTTTTAAAAAATGTATAAAGCCAGAATCATTTAACTGACAGCCATTCAGCAACATGTATAACCACCTATGAAATGGATCGCTGTGTGGTGATTGTGTGTAAAACAGAAAATGTCTGTTCAGTAGCTGTGAACCGTTACCAAGAACACTGGGAGTATGTGTTAGTGTTTGGCTATGTTTTCACTTACAGCCTTAAGCTGTCCTCTGCTGAAAGAGGAATCTGTCAGGTAAAGGCCAACAAAACACAGACAGTTTGGATCATTCAAGCCCCTTTGAATCCCTCGGAGCAAAGAATTGGCAGTCAGGGTTCAAGACCTCATTTTTCCCCAATTATGTCACTGCTGTCATGTCTAATTGGTTATAATTTTTGTTTTCATCTTTGTTACTGGGTACATTGCACCATGCTTTGAGACTTTTCTGTGTGTCAGTAAAGCACCAGAGTCTGGTCTCAAGTTGGAAGTTCAGTGGCCAGGTAGGTTCTCAAATAAGACATAGATCCAACAGTCTAACTGCTATACAGGTTTTTAATTTCCTACTGTGGTCAATGGGGAAGCTGTGCTTGAACTCACTACTGATGCCATAGATAGGGAATTGCTATACAGACAGCAGGAAAATTCTTTCTGATTTGGAAAGGGGCAATTAAGCACAGGATCAGTTCTTAAATACTGAAAAGTGATTTATAAGGAAAGTATAGGTAAATGAAACTAAAATGCCAGTTGAAACTAGATTATTCTTTCCTTTCTGCATGAGAAAGCATTTTTTTCTTCCTTTTTTCCAGCTGAACAGTATTGCAAAACTGAATAAATATGTGCAGCTATTGCCTCTGCCTGTCTCTTGTGAAGATGCCAAACCTGGCACAACATGCAAGGTGGCAGGCTGGGGAGTCACATCTACAGGAAAGCCATCAAAATATCTTCAGGAAACAACTCTTGAAATCGTTGGTAGAAAAAGCTGTGAGAGCAAATTTAGAAATTCCACAAAAATAACCAACAACAAGTTGTATGCTGCAGGAAAAAAAATAATTGAGGAGAAACGCGTGCAAGGTAAGAAGCAAAGTTACAAAGAGAAGGGGATGTGCTTTTAACTGTTTCTTTTTTACTGGGAACAAAGCAGTGCTCGACCCTAAATGAGACTGATCAGATTCATAGTGATTTTAACCACATTTGTAAGAGACTTTATTTCTGTGAAAAAGAAGAGTTAAAACTTTGAATAGTTTAGGTCAATGTACACAGCAAGATCAAGAGCATGGGAATTTGAATCTGGCATTATCTCAGTTAACTTCAGGTGCATTACTTTAGCTGTTTGAATCATCAGATACTTTCCAGATGTCAACATCTGAATAGTACAGAATTAACTGTACACTCAAAAGTGCTGTTTGGATCTTGCTTTTGATGTCTTCTGTGCTGTCTCCAGAAGGGCCAATTGCAAAAGAAGTGAGAATCAATTTATACTAACAATAAAAATACACCTTTTGAAATAGAATTATGATATAACATTTACATCAAAGACTTGCTCAGGCTTGAAAAGCAACCTCTCCTTATACCTCACCGAACTTCCATGAAGTGATGTAAGCCAAATGATACATTTCATAAATTGAAACAGGTTAGAAGCGGTATTTCCAAACATGCTTATGCACTGCAGGTGGCACTGCATGCTCCTCTGGGGAGAAACGAGCACACATTGATACTTCTATTTTGTGTTCTAGGGAGATTCAGGTGGGCCGTTAATCTGTTCCAGTAGATACAGTGGGATCGTTTCTTTTGGAAAAGGATGTGAAAGAAGAGACATGCCTGGAGTTGATACATGACTGACAGAAAAATATATTGACTGGATAAAAAAAGTAATTTCCCTTCACAGAGATCCATGAGACAGGCAAGACAGTTTTAAGAAATACTGTGCTTTGCATTAGAACTAGATGCTGCTGCTTTAGTGTGTTGCCTTTAAAAAGTACCTCCCATCTTTACAGTGACACAGACACTGCTTTATGAGAACAGTTAAAAATATTCCCATTTGTACAGATAACATGTTTACTCATCTTTATAGGAAACTGCCTCTTAGATAACACAATTTGTACTGGACTGTTTCTTACTGTGATGGGGAAGTACTGCCCACCTTATTCATTGTGACTGGGATGAGGCAGAATTTTTGAATGTGCACTTACATAAAAATTTTGTTTCGGACTGATGGTGAATGAGATGTCTGCTGAATGAGAAAAAACAGAACAAAGGCTTTAAATGTTCAAATATTTAGCTGTGATGTTATTCAAATCCAAATACTTCAGTTCTCCATTACTAAATAGTTAACTAAATTAATTTTCAAAGAATTAAAATATAAAACAGATAAACATTTTTCCAATTAATCTTCCATTATGAGAAAGAAAAAATGTCCTTCCCCCCCCCCCCTTTTTTTTTTTTTTGGTGTGTCTGTGTGTGTGTGTGATCAAATCAACAAAATCATCTCTTCTCACAGCCGGGATAATGATCTCACCCTTTCAGTGAATGGTCTGTTGAAAAAAGTATTAATACTGATTGTAATGGGAGTAATTATACTTCTCTGACACAGTGCTTATTTAACATCCATCAAAACAGACAGGAATTTTGCTCTGAATTTTAACAGAAATTTCTACTAACAGAAGGACCTGCTGCGTTTCTGAAGAAGCCTGTGGTTAGTTTGGTGTATTCCCATTATCTGTCAAATATTCTCTATGAGGGTTTTTTTTGCAAACAGTTTGGAAGTGACCATCTACAGGGTTTCTCTGCTTCTTTGATTATTGCATTAATATGTACCAAATACTGTAAATTTTTGAACACTGCAGAGGCATGAATAAATAACTCCAACACATCAACATACTGGCCTCGATTATTGACCAGCAGCTGTGTCACTGTGCTGAGCAGAGCAAGCTCTGTATCATAAAGGCTATGCCGATAAAGGAGCGAACAGATACTGCAAAACTGGGTTGGTAGTCAGCCATGGTGCAATAAAACCTGCTGATGTGGTGTACGGGGGCTTGATCCAATTCTCACTGAAGGTCATGGGAAGGAAGATCTTAAAAAATACCAGTGAGAATTGGCTCAAGACTGGAATACAGAAAGAAGCTGGGAAAAACTGGGAAAACAAGGGGGGAGCAATATAAAAGTGGAAAGAATAAGATACCACAGTTAACACTTTTCAACTGGGGGTCTCAGAGGATGGTGCAAACACAGATTAGCCCCTTTTACCTTTGTAAGGTAAATAACATCAAGGATATGCTTCTTCCCATCCTAAAGGAGACTTTTTGTACCCTGCAGCCCAAACCAACTAATTAGTGCCTAACAAAGGCAAAGATTTCACTTGTTCTGTTCGTGTCTGTTCACATAGCTGTATTTCAGTCACAGATGGGAAATAATGAGTAATATATTCTGGAAACCATAACCCAGCAGGTTAATTCCAGTTCAGATACTGGGCTTTGTGTGTGTGATCTCCTTGTACTGGGTTTGCATAGCAAGGTTTTGGTAGTGGGGGGGCTACAGGAGTGACGTCTGTGACAAGCTGCTAGAAGCTTCCCCCATGTCTGTTCGAGTCAATGCCAGACTGGCCAAGGCCGAACCCATCAGCGAAGTGGTAGCACCTCTGTGATAACGTATTTAAGAAGGGGAAAAAAACCTGTGCAAGGGCAATTGCAGACAGGATTAAGGAAAATAGGTGAGAGAAGCAACTCTGCAGACACCAAGGTTGATGAAGAAGGAGGGGGAGGAGGCGCTCCCGGCGCCAGAGCAGAGACCCCCCTGCAGCCTGTGATGACAACCATGGTGAGGCAGGCTGTGCCCGGCAGCCCATGGAGGACCCCATGTTGGAGCAGGTGTCTGACTGAAGGAGGCTGTGACCCTGTGGGAAGTCCATGCTGGAGCAGGTTTGCTGGCAGGACTTGTGACTCTGTGGGGGACCCATGGTGGAGCAGTTCATGAAGAACTGCAGCCCATGGGAGGGACCCCTCGCTGGAGCAGGGCAGAGTGTGAGGAGTCCTCCCTGTGAGGAGGAAGGAGCAGCTGAGACAAAGGGTGAGGAACTGACCACAACCCACATCCCCTGCCCCCTGCTCTGTGGCAGGGGACGAGGTAGACGAAATAGGAAGTAAAGCTGAACAAGGGAAGGAGAGGTGGTGGGAAGGTGTTTTAAGATTTGGTTTTATTTCTCATTATCCTACTCTGACTTGATTGTAATAAATCAAACTTATTTCCCCAAGTTGAGTCTGTTTTGCCCATAATGGTAATTGATGAATGAACTCTCCCTGCCCTTACCTTAACCCATAAGCCTTTTGTTATATTTTCTCTACCCTGTCCAGCTGAGGAGGGGAGAGTGGCTTGGTGGCACCTGAGGTCCAGCCAGGGTCAGCCCACCACACTGTAATGACTTCATTTACATAATCTTTTTTTCTTTTGTGGGCAATGTAGCTTTTACAGGCAATGTGGCAGGTGGAAGGGTATTACTGCCAGGCCCCCAGGGTACCACTGGGTCTGACTGCTCCTGCCCAGACCCCGGAGCTTCCCCACATGCTCACCCATGGCCCAGGATCCATGTCAACCCCAGAGCCATCAGCTCCTGCCCCAGCAATGCCGCAGCAGTGCCAGTCCCCAGCTTGATCCTGCCCCGCCATGGGCCCTGCTGATCTGGCCTACCCACAGGCTGACGTGCCAGCCTGGCCTTAGCCTGTCTCCATGGAGGTGCTGGAGCAGTGAACCAAGCAGCAACCTTGGCTAAACTTCTGTCCACCCTGAGGCAAGCAGAATCTTTATTCCCTCCACGTGCCAGTCTTTGCTGGTGTTGAATTCACCATGTCTGGAGAGAGTGCTTGCCCATCCGCCTCTCTGGGAGAAGGGCAGTCTGGGCCAGGGAGAGTGGTAGTTTTGCAGTGGGGATGGAAAATGCCTTACAGTTCTGCATTATATTAGCACCTGTGGAAGTATACAGTGGAAGGTTGACTGATTCTGCAGCCAGGGGTAGGCAAAGGTCCAAGAAAGGGTGAGTGTTGGCTAAACAAGGTGACCACTGCTGTCACTCACTACTCACTGCTGAAACCACTGCTGGGCTGGTTCTCAGAACAGAGCTCAAAACAGGAAAGCCACAGAGAGTAGCTCCAGGTATGTGACAGTTTTATTGTAACAGACACCCACAAAGCCTGAACAAATTAAGCTAGAAACACATTCTTACTAGACTGAGAGGAACTCATATTCATATTGTGGTAGAGTTTACTATAGATACCAGTCGTTTCCAGCACAGCATTTGCAATTCCACTTTTCTTCAGTAAGAGAAACCTAGTCCTGTCTCTTGTAACCTGTCCTGCCTCGACACTGATCTCTAGGTCCCTGTGAGATGTCCCCTTGCACATTACATCCCAGTTTCCAAATACTGGCTTCTTGTAGCAGGCCAGCTCTTTCATACTATCTGTTTTTATCTTTACTGGAAATTTCTGACTAGATTAAGGGAATCCTGTCCCAGGCATCCTTTTGCCCTTGGCCAGGGCTGGGCTCCTATCTATACTTGCACTGTGTATCTTGGTATCTGCTGAGTTGACTTCTCTATCAGACATTTGCACCTATCCCTGTTTTTACTGAGATCTTCCAGGTAAACGATATTTCTTAAGAATTATTTGCTGAGAAGTCTGACTTGCTCGTCACGTGTCTCATGGTCGTATCTGGGCATAGAAAGCAGCCCCTAAGGTTGATCAGGCCATGCAAAGACATGACATATGGCACTGACATGAAATGTATGGCACTGATGTAGAGTGTACGGTGCTGATATACAGTTGAAGGCTCTCTATCCAAGAGACGGGGCTGACAATTTGTATTCGCACATCACACAGAGATACAGATGCCAGTTATCTTTAGTCCTTGCATTTGTTCTGCCCTTGTACTGGGCAGTAGTGGCTGATGTTTTGTACTTGTTTTGGCTGTACATCTAGTGCACTGTACGTTCAATGTGGGAATCTATTTTTTTTTTTTTAAACAAACTTTGAGTTCTCAGTACAGAGGGTAGCATTATCTATTGTCAACAACTGTTGTTTCCTGAAAGTTCAGTGATATGTTTGGAGCATGGATTGCCTCCACTGCTCCTTGTCAAAAGTTTGTTTTATCTTCTGACTACAGAATAGCCTGCCATCTAGCAAGCTGTAAAAGTAACCTTCCTTTTGGACAACTCAATCTGGCATCAGGAAGAAACATTTAGAAAACAGAATTAAAACAAAGCAAGCCATCAGATTTTCAAGATAATTTTCTTGGATACTTGCCAAAGAGAAATAACGATAAACTCAAAGTCTGAATAGGTCAGTTTACCATAGTCATACAAATTACAGCAAGTAATTTTAACATGCCTGTTACATCTTTTAATTAGGATTTACTATTTTCCAAAATTTATCCTCATCTTGTTAATGATCTGGCAGATGGTTCAGATAACTCCAACCCATTATGCTTGTAACCCCACATTAATCTGATTAAACTTTTTTTTGGATTGACTAATAATATTTAATAATCAATATCTAGCAGATTTCAAGTAGGTTAAATTTAACTGTAATTCAGTTCAAGGTTGCTTCAAAGCCACTGAAATCAGCTGTGAAATGTGCATTGAAAGTCAACCACTAATTTCACAAAAAGTCACTGAATCTAAAAGCTGTACCAAGACCCACATCCTCAGCATGATGATGAGGAAACCACAGAAATATGAGCAAAAATTCCCTTATTTTAATGAAAAATAGAACAGAAACTTGCAGATCTTAACTACTTCCAAAGGCACAGATTATATTAAATTTATAAACAATGGAGTTTCACAGCATTCACCCTTATCTGCTTTTGTTCGTAAAAAGCAAGAAATTTTGCCCTATTAACACACTCTCACAAAACCTTTAGTTCAACAAAATATCAAACCTCTGCAGCAACACAGAAAATTAAGATAAGCAGTAATTAAAACAGT